AGGCGAAGAGCCCAAGTCTGTTTAGTTCTCTTGCGAAAGCCACTGTCCGTCTCCCAAAGCTCGACCATGAAGGCTTGGCGACCGCGCAGTGGGTAACCCAAGCGACACAGGAGGCCTGGCGGCCCAAGTCAGATTCAGTTGTGGGCTTGTCTCTTGGGAAGTGATAGATTTTGACCGTGGACCTTCTCAGTGTGTTTGTGTGTGAGTGGGGTACCATGCCACAAGATGACACGGTTCATTCATATGGGAACCATTTGCAGTTTCCTTGGCCGCTGAGGTGGGGATGCCTTCTTTCAGACTTGGGGAATACGGGACTGTAGGCTGGAAAGCTGTCCAGTCAACTTTGATTTCAGCCTGTTCAAGAACACATTTTGGAACAATAGATTTCAATAAAACACACATCAAAAACGTCGTGCGATTTGGTGAGAAATAGCTGCGATTTGGTGAGAATAGCTGCGATTTGTATATTCTAGTAAAACAACCACTGCATACATCCTTTTATGATGTACATTGTGTGCACTCATGAACCGAAAGTATAGTCTTCCTCTAAAGCTGCGATTTGTACGCATGTCGCTGAACTCGCAGCATGTCTTCCTGCAAGTGCTTTTTGTCTCAGAGTGACCTATAAAGCAGCAGCCATGCCTGAAGCACCCAGGGTTCGCATCCATGGCAAGGGTGGGCGTGGTGAGAGTGAACGGGGAAGGTCAAGGACAAAAAAAGGAGAAGGATAGCAAGAGGGAGTCAAAGAAAAGCCATAAAGAGAAAAAGGAGAAAGAGGAAGGGCGCAAGAAGGTTAGCCCCAAGAATCCCAAGGAGATGTCTGGTTCCAAGAATATGAAGAATGAGAAGGACTCAGCGAGGGGCAAGGAAGAACCTACGAAAAGAAACAAGACGAGGCATGAGGCAGAAGCGAAGAAGGAAGCTGAAAAGGCAGAGACACCGCCAGCTAAGACAGAGAAGAAAAAGAAAGCAGCGCAGACGCCAGCAGAGAAGACGCCAACGGAGGAGAAGAGGGCGAAAGAAAAGACAAAGGAAAAGAAGAATGACAAGGAGCCGGAGAAGGAATGCAAGAAGCAGAAGAAGGCCAAGGACGACAAACATGATAAGACAAAAGAGCAGAAGAAAGAGAAGAAAGAGAAGAACCATAAGAAACAGAAGAAAGAGAAGAAAGAGGAGAAAGAGGAGAAGAAGGAGAAACCAGATAAAAAAAAAGGAAAAGAAAGAAAAGGAAACAAATGGCGAGGAGAGGGAAGAAAGTTCTGCAAGGAAAAGTGCTTTGAGGCGACCGAGGGATAAGACTTCATGTGAGAAGGATGAAACGAGCAAGAAGCCCAAGGTGACTTTCAAGGACGATAAGGCAGCGGAAGAAGTGCCCAGGACACCGACTGCCAAGCAAAAAGCAGAGCAGAAGTTGTTGGAGCTGGCGACCATCTTAGAGTCTTCACTTGACAAGGATCACGACGACGATGATGATGATGACTTGTCAGAGATTTTGGGCGCAGGAAAGGAAGAAGAGGAGGATGAAGATGCCGATGAGCGAGAAGAAGACAGTGAGGAAGAAGATGAGGATCATCAGGAAAATGAGGAGGGGGGCAGAAGACAGTGATGAAGAACAAGAAGAGGATGAAGAAGAAAAATACGAAGAGGGAAAGGAGGAGGAAGAGGATGGCCAGAGTTGCGACCAGGACGACGAAGATGAGGAGGCCATGTCCGTGGAGGAAGATGATGAGGCGTCGACAGTTGACCCAGACTGCAGCGATGAAGAGGATGATGATGATGATGGAGAGTTTAGTGAGGAGGAAGGAAGTGGAGGCGAAGGTGATAGGAGCACTGCGCCGGCAGAGGAGTCGCATGCGCTGGTTCCAGTGGTCAACGAAGGGGCTGCCACAACGCTGGCACTAAAAAAACAGTAGCTTTGATGCACGCAATTGTTTTGGGTGAACACACCGAACAGCTCTTCCTACTGCAATCGCTTGTGGTTGAACTCCACTGAATCTAGCTTAGTTGCCTTCACTATGCTTCGATCACTTTTGAGTGTACTCCATTGCGTCTACATAGTTCAATTTGTAAGCGTGTAAAAAGACGCCTTCCCACAATGCAACATATGTATATGTATATATATATATGTATATACATATGATGTCATGAGCTCGTTGAAACTCTTCGATCACTAAGGCACTACACACAAGGCTCAGTGGGACAAATTCTGTCGGGAGGCATTGTCACGCTCTAAGTTTCCTGCAGAGCTGAGCGAATACTACAACACCAAGAAAACCGAGCTCTTCAACATATGGATGGATAGTGGAATGAATTGGAGCTCTTGCAAACTCGCAGTAGACCGACAAGTCTCCCAGCGCAACGTGGCCTCCAAAGGATGGCATGCTGTGCAAGGCAAGACTCTTCGCCAACAGCACCATGTCCTGTCGAGTAAGAGTCATTTTCTTTTGTGAGTAAAGCATGTTGTACATTGCGCAAAGCCACTGAAAACCATACCAAATCATAATGTCTAATGACAGTGTTAGGATGACGCTCACACACCATGTCGGGGGGAAGTGTTTCACAAACTTGCTGATCTGGAATTCCCAGGTATACCAGTGAAAAGTTCGAGAAGCTGATTCAAGAGAGGCAGAAGCAGGGGTTGTGGTACGAGGATGACCTCTTCCCAGGTGACCTAGATGAAGCCTGGTTCTTTGTCAGGGTTGGTGAGAAAGTCAAGCAGGACAATGAAACGCTTGAGAAGCTAACCCTCACCGCCAAAGCCGATGTCAATGATGACATGCGAGCCGCTCTCACGGATGCTGCAGATGGTGTGCTCCGGCCTGGCGCTTTGCCATCGACGTCTGCCGTTGGGAAGGATGGCAACAAAGCTCTCCTGGATGCGCTTGGAAAGGCTGTCCAAGTTCCAAGTCGTCTTGTGTGTGTGTCTCGCATTTTTTTGTGTTAAATGGATTCGCACAGATTTCCCATAATATCCAACACATCTAACTTAGTTATAGCAGTTAGCCATGCACATGAACCCCCTGACGTTCTGTATGTCGCAGTGTTCACCCAATCGCACCAGTCCACGCAGGTGGCTATCGCAAAGCCTAAAAGGTCAAAAGAACGTGATGGTCTAGCAGATCCAGTGAAGCCTCAGACCACCGAAGAAAAGCTGAGCAGTTACATGCAAGACTTGCTTGCCCATGCTGCTACTGCTAGAACGCAGTCCATCAAGCTCTCCACAGTGGGGTATGCCACGGAGCTGTCAGCCCAATTGTTGGACCATGCCAAAAAAGCTAGAGGTTACGTTCAAGACAGGTCAGGACGCTTTGAAGATCAAAGACGAGAAGGAAATGACCGCTCTCATCAAGAAGGTCGATAAGCTCATTGCTTTTGGTGATCAAGCGAAGGCCAGCTACCGATCAAACCGATTCCAAACCAATTCAGTTTGTTCAATCTCTTGAGCTTGAGAACCAATTTGGCCCTACCTCCCAAAATGTCTCACTTGAGACACCCACAAACAGTCTCCAAAGATCTCCAAGTGTAGTGCTTGGCCTTTATGCCAAACACCTGCCGCCGGCCGATCGTTCTCGGTCCTTCTTTTGCAAGGCTGCTGCTGCTGCTTTCCTGCGACCGTCGAGCAAGGGGCGTGCCAAAGCGAAAGCGAAAGCGAATACGAAGACGACGAAGACGGAGAAGTCGAGCAAAGCTTCTGCTGCGTAGTATTTTGATTGGCTACAGAGATTGGCCTCTGTGTCACGAAGTGTAGGGTTTGAACAAGTGACAACACTTGTTGTGCAGAAGCTTGGATGTTCCCTTAGGGGCTTCCCAAACTGTAGCCATTGGAACTCTCATCGTGTACGGTGTAATATATCCATCTAATTATATATATATATCTCTCTCTCTCAATGGTGTTCACCTGTAACTCTCGTCATAGCCTCAATAGCCCGTGGGACTCCAGTTTCAACGCACGCAATCTAGTAGGAAGCAGGGGGGATCGAAAAACTGGCCGAAGCCTTTCAACATGTCGAAGATCTTTCATCTTTGATGTCTCCCTATTGCAACCCACGCCCATGCGCGGCCAGGCGCTGCAGCCTCGGTTTCGAGGACAGTCGGTGAAGTACATGAGGGCCTGTCACAGAAAGAGACTGCTGTCACTGGCTGTTCACTGAAATAAAGGTTCGAAGGTTCCTCCGCTGACATGATGGTGTTCATGATATGACCGCAGCCCGACCAATTGATGATGCGCTGACTAAAACTTTGAAGCATCTTGCAACACATGTGGTGCAGGAAGCGACGACGGCTTCCTCTTGAATCCTATGAGCAGTCTGCGACAGTGACAAAGCTGACAGACTTGATTGGGAGAGGGCAAGTAAGCATAGCAGCAGCTGCTGACATTGCAAGATGTGTGGTTAAAGATCACACAGTTCCCGACCCTGCTGTTCCTAGATCTTAAACACTCCATGTTTGTTGACATGGTTTCCTTTTCCTTTCGTCTTTTTAGAGTGTTTCGGGATCCTCAAAATCAAAAGACTTTTCTAGGCCCCATATGGAAGTTCTTTAACCTTTGAGGTTAGAGCCTTCAGCTCCCTTGGCTGCGATGGCTTGCACCCGGGAAATTGCGAGAGGGATCTCCATAGATGGCTATGTGGCCTATATGACTTTGACCTAGAGACTTATGTGGTCAAGGTAGACTTGCAAGAGTTTTGATTGTGAATTGGTAAAGTTTTTATTTGTTTGCATGCATTTGGCTAGAGCTCTTCTCGGCACCCGGTGGATCTCTTGCTTTCTATGGCGCGCAGCTCAAAATTGAGGATAGTGGTTGGTAAGGGCGCTTTTTGTTGTTGTGGGGTTGCAGCCAAAGGTGAATGGTGTCAAAGCGAAACCTGTCGATGTGACTCAGATTGGGATTTGTTGAAACATTTGTATTGTTTCAATGTTTGATGGCACAAATCGGAAATCGTCTTCGAAAATCATATCGGAAATCGTCTTCGACCGCCTAGCCTGTTGCCGCGATTGAGGTTCACATCCTCCTTCCCCACGAACTCCTGCACTGCCTGGCCAAAGTGCAGTGCAACTCGGTTTTCGATGCCATTATTTTGGGTCATTTGAACGCAGTGTCTCGAAGGAAGTTTTGGGAACATGTAAAAGAAGTGGATGCGTGGCGCTTGCATCCAATCTTTGATGACCGCCAGCTGGACATGTCCACAGTTATCCCATTGTGTGTGCATGGCGACGGAGCTGAAATGAAACGCGATGATGAGAGCTTCGTGTGGAGTTTCTCGAGCTTTTGGGGTTCTGAGGGACAAGTGAAAGATGTTCTCATGTACAAGTATCCCTTTGCGATTATCTTGGAACGGCACATGAAGGCTCCAAATGTAGCCTGGCTATACAGGGTTCTTTCTTTCTGCTTTCCCCCCTTTGGATTTGAGTTTCCCAGTCTGCAGCCTTATAAAAACAAAAGACTTGTGGCAACACACTGGGCCTGTCAGGTACGCAGCGCGGTGGAAAAGGTCATCGCTGAGGTGTTCAGTTGGAGCATGAAATGCTGTTCCAGCGGCATTGCCCCTTCGCGAGGGTTCTACAATGAGGAATTCCTGCCAAAGACCTCCAGGTTTGAAATGCGAGGGCAGCAGTTAGCTTTGGGATGGAAGCCACCCAAATGAACACGCTCGTATGACTTTTCTATGTTTGTTGAGTTTTCTATGCTCATGACTGAGGGTTGGGGAAGAGTCTTCTCTGTGTTTTTTGCCCATTGGTTCATGAGCTGAGGGCTGCCTACTTTTGTATGAAGGGCGATCTCAAAGCTAGGCACCAAATGAATGGTTTCCAGCGGTGGTATCAATGCTCAATGTCACTTGGTTCCCAATTGACTGGGTTTTGCAAACAAGGTTTATTTGTTCTTGTGGTTGATATTTTTAGCTGTGACTTAGGGGTGGTTGATGGTTGATGTGTCCAACATGCCACAGGCTTTGCGATAGTTGCCTCGCTTCTTGCGGTAAGCACTGCGAAGATCCAATGAACTACAGGAATTTCGGACAGGGGGCAGCCTGGCCGCTGACGTGTCTGTCTCACGAGGCTTACATGGCCTTAGAGCTAGTTCCCTCGCCGTGGACTGCCGTTCCAGGATTTCGCTTGGAAACCATTGCGTGGGACTTGCTCCACAATGTCTTCCTCGGCACAGGGAGGGACCTAGTGGCTAGTGCAATTCGAGTTTTGATCAGGGAGGGCATCTATGACCATGTTGGATCTTCTGAGCTGGATGTTATCCTCAGCGCAGTTCACGAGGAAATCCGCACGACATGCAAGCAGAACGGGTTCCTTTACCAAGAGTGTTTTCCCTTGGTTTGAATCTATATATATACATATGGGGTGGTGTGCATTTTGCAACTTTATAGACTAAAGATTTAAAAGAAAGAACACACCAGTGCTTTTTGCGTTGAGCCTTTGGGTTCCAATAGGTCATGAGGTTCCAAGCCATCGGACACCAAACCAGGTTCTATCTCCCACCGAAACCGGTTTTGAGCGAAGCCAACATGGGCGGTTCTGACTATGCAGAAATCGGTACACGATACAAGGCATCTCATGTCAAGTGCCTAATTTGGTGGGCTGCGCAGAAGACACGGCAGGCTGTGAGATGGGTGGCCCAAAACTTCTGACTGTTTAGTTGTGGTTGAATCTACGACCCCACGCCAAAAAAAGGATTCAAATGATTTAAGTTTAATCTTGGCCCCCATGTAGGTTGCAGATGTTGCCCCTGACAACGTCCAACTTCAAGTTCTGGCTACGTGTTGCTGGGGTGTTCAAAGGTGCATCGAAATTTCCGACCACGCGGGCCTCATCCTGGATGTGATCGAAGCAAAAGAAGCTTCCGATGCCTTGCGGACGCACATTCGATGTTTCGCTTGGCTTTCGCTTCACTACCATGATCTGAAAACCAACCTCTTCAAGGTGAGGCCAAAGAGTCACTACATATGCCATATGGCAGATAGCTTAGTTTCCTCAAGGATGAACTTCAACTCGTTTCACACCTTCGACGAGGAGAGTTTTTTTGGGAAAGATAAAAGCGATATGCCAAAAGACTCATGGTAGCACAATGACCCAGAGGGTCTTTCAGCGTTACAGGCTTTGCTTGGCTTTGTTCTTGCACCAAAGCAGGCAACTTGAAGCTCAGCTCGACTGAAAAAAACAAGCCTCTGCTGCTCCACTGCCACATAGTCATGGCGTCGACCAGCCGATGCCAAGAAAGGATGTGAACATAAAAATTGTTGTACCCTAAAGGTCCTCAAGTTGCAATGCCACGTGTTTGGCAAAGATCGTGTATGGTATAGTCATGACTCATGACCAGCTATTACAAAAGCACTGGTGTTTCATGAAGGGTTCAAAGAAACATGTTGACCATGGTGTTACTTAAAGGCCTACATTTTCCATGTACCGTGCATCATGTACCTTCGCCCGAAAACCTTTGGTAGGTTTTCTTGCGGACTTCGCACGGCGGGTTCCAGATTCGGACGGCGGGTTCCAGAGCTGTGGTCTCAATGCTATTGGGTTTTTTCGTTTTCTATGAAGGAAACCCTTGGGAACATCAAGGCTGATTCTCTCGCGCTGTGCGTGGGAACATGTCTCTCGCGATTTCTGTTTTAATCGTTTCATGGTTTTGAAGGAAACCGTCGAGAAAGCACGCCATCACCCAGCATGCGTGGTCCATGCGTGCGTGTGGAAGCTGGGACCAAAAAAACAGAACACCACCCGACGTCGAGGAAACCTATGTGTACATACTTTCATATCATATATATATATACATACATATATTTTTTAAAAAAATGGTGGGGGCGGAGGTGAGCATAGCGCTAGCGCGATTATCTGCGTGATTGCAAAGCATGCGTGTGCTCTTTGTCAGCGCATGTGTCCTGTCATACCTTTACTGCACAAGCAAGTGCAACCATCACCATGCACACTTGCAGTCCTGCAGATGACCATGGTCACGCAGACATGGTAATATGTCCATGTATGCGACGCAAACGACAATTGTCGTGTATGCGACACAAACGACAACGTTCGTGAAAAAACGGCAGCGTCGCTGCCGTTTGTGTAAAACGCTCTCCCTTGCACACCGTCGGATTCTCTAGGCACCGCAGCGGCTCGCAAGGGCGCAAAACCTAACAGCACGCGATGCTTCAGGAAGGTTGCCAACGCCAAACACTTTGTCAAAGCATCCGCTGGGTTCTCAGTACCGGGGACATGCGCACATTCGAGGATTCCTTTAGCCATGAGCTCGCGAAGCCAACAAATCCGAATCTCCACATGGCGCGAACGGCGCTGCAAATCAGAAGCCTCGAGGATCATCTTCCCACTCAGGGAATCTGTGAGCCATGCCAAACAAAGGGAGGTGACTTGCACATGAGGACCTGAAAGACAGTCCTGGACAAACCAAGTCCTTCCTGGATGCCTTCCTGGCCTGCGGAAAGCTCTGCCTCGCACGAACTCAAGGTCACCGATCCCTGATGCCGGCTGAACGCTTTCAACAGCACACCACGGTACACAAGACACACACCTGTGATGCTGCGGCGGTTCGTACTCCGCATGGGAGCAAAGCCTGCATCAGTATAGACCAGCAGCGTCTCTGCATAGTCGGGAAGCTCACCTTCGGTTGGAAAGCGCTGTCCAACCTTCATGTCGGTGATCAAGTACCTGAGAACCATTCGAAGTGCCTTCTCATGGCCTGGCTTTGGAGAGGCCTGGCCCGTGGAGAGCAAACCGACAAGGACCAACAAATCCAACCTGGTTTGGCACATCCACGACAAACGACCCAGGATTCTCCTGAACCGTGCATGCGCCTCGGCACTAATGGGTTCCTGCTCAATCGTCTCCTCGATGGCTGGTCGGATGTCAGGGAACGTGGTGCTCCCCTTTTCGATTCCGAACTCACGGAAACACTCATCCATGTAGTCAGGATCAACAGACAAGTACAAAGCAGCGTCACCTGCCTTCCTTGAGATTGTCCGGCCAAGAAAACGCAGCGAGCCATTCTTCGCAGATGCGAGTGGGATTCTTCCAGTCTCTCGGATCTTCACATGCTTCGCAAGCAGATCAAACACGATCTTGTAGGATGCCTCCTTTGGAGTAGCAACGAGAACGTCATCAACATAGCAGATCAGAACAACTGGTGCTCCACCAACTGAACCGGCATAGAGGCAAGGCTCAGTGACGCTGGACTCAAGACCTGCCTCGCGAACGATGCGAGCAAAGAAGGATGCCCATGCGAGCGAACCCACTCTGAGTCCATTCAAGCCTTTCTTGGCCTCAAGGTAGACTGGTTCATTGGCGTCATTGTCCCTGGAAACGGAAGTGGGAAGCCGGACGACAACATGGTGCTTTTCCAAAGGCGCGTTCATGAATGCCTGACTCACGTCAATGGCAAACAAGCCCATCGGGGGACAACCCCAGGCTCCACAAGCCATACCTAGGAGCACACGCAGTGACTCCACTGAGGGCGTTGGGCTGCTAATGCCCTGGGCCCTGGCGGTTGCAGCGCCACGCGCTATATCTTTCACAACCATGCGGGCTCTCACTCCCTCGTCAGCCTCCGGTTTTTCGCCCGTTACCCATCGACAGGGTATAGGCCGGGTGCTGAATTCTGCACAAAACCTTTCCATTTCCTTCTGCGTGAGGACGTTTCCTGCTCGAACTCCTGTGAGTCCCTCGATCTCCTTGACCATGGCTCGGAAGGTACCTGAAGGACGCAACTCCACAAGAGTGGTGTCGGAGACAGCACCTGACGGTTTCCAAACTCGGACTGGGGCGCCGCACAGGTTCACCCTCTGGTACTCACCAGGTCCGTCCCAGTCGAAACGAATGGAGCAAACGAAACTCCCATCCAGTTCCAACATTGAGTCCACCATCTCGGAGTCTTCAAGGAGGTCGCCAGACATCTCAATGTCTTCAGGCTCATCCATGGGGACGTCGTGATCCTTCTCAAGGTCACTGGGCGCATAGTCCATCTCAGCCGCATAGTTTGCCAGTTCATCTTCGACTGCCTTTGGAGGGTCACGGTACGAAGTTGCCTTTTCAACATGCATCGAACTGGCTTCAAGGAACTGTGCCTGGCTCTTCTTGCACTTTGCACTGTGGCGGATTCCAGGTGCCACCATGCCGCTGTCACAAGATGGACAGCCCCTTGTGGGAGCCATTCCCTTTGGCAAACCTGGGATCACAGCAACGTCCTTGGCCTTAACTGGAGGTAGTTCCTGAGGTTCTTGAGGTTCCTGAGGAACTAAGTCACGAACTTCTTCATCTGCAACTGGTGCTGGAACGGGAGGTTTCTTGTCTTCTTGCTTCTTCTCATCACCTCGCCTCAACCAGTTGCGATAACGCTCATAGCACTTGACAGAGTGCTTGCCTTTGCGGGTTGCGCAGGCAGTGCAGTCATCCGTGTTGCCAAACTTGTCCAACCAATGACGTGGAGGTGGAATGCTATCCGGCAACTTTGCAAAGTCCTCAGGGATGATCTCCACTGGCGATTGGTCTTCGATTGGGCCTGGAGGCGGTTCAGAACCGGTCCTCCTGAGAAAACGACCTACCAAATCCATGGGGTAGGTGATGGGAAAGACAAATTTCAAACTCTTCGCTTGGAAATATTTCAAATCATCTTCAATCTTGGCGACAACGAAATGAGAAAAAGAATTCCTGACAGGGTAAAGGTAGCCTGCACTCACAAAGCGGCCCACACTTGGTACACTCTCCGGAGTTTCTGCCAGCACGTGGCTACAGAACATAGCTGAAACGCGGCTTGCCTCAACAGAGTCACGAAGTACCTCGCGTCCAGTCTTGCCTGTGTTCTCCACCTTGCCGTGGAGGTTGTGCATGGCGACGACATACCTGGCACATGCTTCCCAACCTGCAAGGCTGTCTTGCAGATCACAGTTCTCCTTTGCAAGTTCCAATCGGATTGTTGCAATTCCCTCCTTCACTTCTCGCACGCCGCGCTCAACAGAGCCGACTGAGTCGTGATTCTGGGGACCAGCACGAGTGACAGTGTACTCTCTTGGTATTCCACTGCGTTGGATCAATGCTGTCACATCTGGTGCTGCATCAGTCCTGAAGTCGATTGGCGGTCCTTCACCACCAACGAGGGAGAACTCGGTCAAGATCTGCCTGATGTGGCTGCCGGTCACACGAATGTCCTCGCTCACAGCAGTGACGCCAAGAAGGCCTGTCATCACTTGGCGGAACAAAACAAGTTTGTGGGTACCTAGGAAGAAGAAGTCCACCTGGATCTCGAGCACTCTCTCGCGCATAGGCCTGCGTGGGGCGCGTGACACGCCACGACCCTGCTGACACTCAAGGCAATGAGGATCATACGGGAAGTGTCCCTTGAGAACATGCTGTCTCCTGCGCTCCGCCTGAGACTGATCCAAGTTCACAGCGCTCACTTTCAGACCTGAGACGTCCATAGGAGCTCCTCCTACATCCACATCCATAGGCATAGTCTTGCCTGGCTGATCCTTGATCGCTTTGGTGGCGGTGGGACGACGCGAACGCATCCACGGACATCCGCCCCACAAAGTCACCTCTGTGATCATGGTCTGGGACTCTGCATGGTAGAGGTACATCTCATCGGGAGACTGAACCACTGTCCAGCCCTTCTTCACAAGCTGTCCTGTCGAAATAATATTGTGGGAGACATTCCCAATGCAACATTCAAGTTGAAAACTCTGTACCTTTGCTGCTCCGGCTCCTGTGGTGACCTCAAAGGCAACTGTAACTGCCGCCGTCTGACTCATCCGCACTGGGGAACCATTAGCGGCGAAGTATTCCACGCTGCCAACACCTGTCTTTCCACCCTTGTACTTGTAGTTCTGGCAGAAGTTCTCGGACAAAACAGACACTGCTGCACCACTGTCCAACAACCACCAGCTCCAGTCCGTCTCCTGGAAAGAACAGATCAAGGGCATCATCACGCCTCCTTCAGGCGTATCAGCCCAATCTTCGGGCCACTCCTGAGCCTGCCACTCACCTTCCTCCTCCTCAGCCACCTCGCCTTCA